TACTGAAAGCAGAATTAACTGAAATGAAATAAATTTCCTTGGCTACTTCAGTCAGAGTTAAAGTAGCAGTCAATACATGTGGCTGGTGGCTGCCTTATTAAAAAAAAAAAAAGCGCTAGTCAACTTTCAGTCACTTCGACAAAATGTCTGAGATGATCAAATTAAAGAAGGGATAGCTTTATTCTGTCTCATGATCTCTCAGAGGATCACTTGGCCCCATTGCTTTGGGCCCGGGCCAGTAAAGTTCATCACGGAGGCAGCAAGGACAAAGAATATCTGTTTACCTCATGGTGGCCAGGAAGCGAAAGAAAAGAGGACAAAGGCTGGGGTCTCAGTATGCCACTCAAGGTTGTTATTTTTTTTTATATTCAACGTGCTAACTTCCTCTAAGTCCCACCTCCTAAAGATTCTGTCACCTCTCAAAAGTGCCACAGGTTGCAGACCAAGCCTTCAACACGTGGGCATGTGAGAAACTCTGAGGATCCAAACTCAAGGGCAGGGAGAGTTGCATGGTGTCAGAGGTGAGCTTAGTGTGTGTGAGTACACCGATTTAACAGTTAATTCCTTAGTATCATGAAAATAAAAATACAGAAGAGGAAACCAGGTGGTGGTGGCGCACGCCTTTAATCCCAGCACTCAGGAGTCAGAGGCAGGCAGATCTCCGTGAGATCAAGGCCAGCCTGGTCTACAGAGTGAGATCCAGGACAGCCAGGGCAACACAGAGAAACCCTGTCTTGAAAAACAAACACACAAACAAAAATCTTCAGGTTAAAAAAATTTAAGCACCATTACAGTATTTAGTTTTTAGATGCCCTTGGGAACTCAAACCAATAACTGGTAATCTTGTATTCATGGAGCCAGCACACTTTTCTTCCAGAGTCCTCTCTTTCCCACCATAGGCATCAAAGCTCGACTGCAACACACACACACACACACACACACACACACACACACACACACACACACACACACACGGGGGAATTTCTCAAGAGCATTCATCCATCAGCTTGTGCATACGACAACTCTCACTAGGACTTAGGCCGTACAGGGAGTCAGAGAAAGAGAATGATCACCAGGCTGAATTCTTCCTCTTTTTCTATTTTCATTTGTTTTGTTTTGTTTTTGAGGCAGGGTTTCTCTGTGTAGCTCTGGCTGTTCTGGAACTCACTCTGTAGATCAGGCTGACCTCAAACTCACAGAGATTCCCCTTGCCTCTGCCTCCCAAATGCTGGAATTCAAGGTATGTGCTACCACTGCTGGGCCGGCCAGGCTGAATCTTGATGTCTCTACTTGTTTTAACTCAAGAGGCCTCACTCAAACCTCCTTGATGTTTCCTTTGGGCTATATAAATTATTCACAGACATTGGTATCTATAGGCTACGGTCCCAGTCACCTCACCAGACAGTCCAATGATGGGCTTTAGTAACAGCTCATGTCGCTGGGATGATGCTGAGCTGCCTCCACACACTCTGACGGCCAGAGGTTGGGAGGTGGTCTGGCTCTGGCTCAGGGTCTCCATTGTGCTACTAGGACCTGACTCTGGTCTAACCTTTTCTAGCTCTTTCCTTCAGGATACTCATCTGAGTTGGACACAGCACTTCTTCTTCTTTTTTTTTTTTTCTTTAAGCAGTTTATGACCCAGAAGTTTCCAGTTATCTTTACCTCAAAGGCAACTCCCAAGTGTGACGGCTGTTCTTGGTTGTTGACTTGACTACATCTGCAATTAACTAAAACTCAAATGGCTGGCCACATTTGTGAAGGATTTATTTTTTTTTCCTTAATTAAATTGTTTGAAGTGGGAAGACCTACTTTTAATCCAGATCTTTTGAGGTGGGAAAATAGACCTTTAATCCGGATCTTTGGAGATGGGAAGCTCTACCTCTAATCTGAGCCACACCTTCAGGTGGCAGCCTATAGAAAGGACATGGAAGAAGGAAGATGGTATTCTCTTTGCCTGCTTGCTCTCTCTTGCTAGCAAGTCCACTCCTTCACTGGCATTAGAGCCTGCTTCTTCAGGATTCCAGTGTATACAGAAGACCAGCTGAGACACCCAGACTTGTGGACCTAACAACTACTGGATTCTTGGACTTTCCATTGGGAGACAGGCATTGTTGGACTAGCTGGACTAAGTCATTCTGAATAATCATATATATATGTATATATTCTATAAGTTCTCTTCCTCTAAGGAGCCCTGGAAAATATACCCAGGGCTTGAGGTTTTATCTGCAGGGCTAGTTTTGCACCCTTGATTGGAGTGTGGGGTTGTCTGAGTATATATAGAGAAGGCAGTTTGACCACATGTCCATTTGCAAAAACATCATTAACAAATTTCCCTTTAGGGCCTGTGACCTCTCCAGTCACAAGCTTTTGGCCCTTCTGTGGGGCCTCAAATCTAATTAGAAAGTAGTTGGTAGTTGGGCAGTGGTGGCGCATACCTTTAATCCCAGCACTCAGGAGACAGAGGCAGGTGGATCTCTGTGAATTTGAGAGCAGCCTCGTCTACAGAGAGAGATCCAGGACAGCAACAGAACAGTAAGAAACAAAGCAGTTGCACGGAGAAGTGTGTTAGTGAGTTAGTCTTATTTATAATAACTCACACTTGTGAGAACTACGATCTCCCAAGAGCTACGTTAATTTGAGGACTATGTGGCCAGTGACCTAACCACGTCTCTCCTTCTCCTTGGAACCCCTTCCCTTGCCTCTTTTTCTTTTGTCTCCTGTCAATGTTTGACTAAGAATGATCTTGGGTTGGTACTTTTGACCGTGCTGCCTCAAGTGCTGGCATTACAGACACAGTCACTGTTTCCACTTAATGTGGTGTTGGGGATCAGGGATCAAACTAGGGCTTTGTGCACTCCGGGCAAACTCTACCAACTGAGCTACCCTGAAAGCCACCCAGACTGAATTTGGTTCAGTGTCTGAGACCACTGTATTCTCTACTTGGGGAGGTCCTCCTGTTTTTTTTTTTTTAGGTGCTTAGATGCTGAATTCCGTCCTTGTTCCTCTAACTTCACCGGAAGCAGATATTCTCTGAAAATCGAACCATCTTTAAAACCATCTTCAACTGGCGAATATTCATTTAAAAACCACGCTGAAATAAACTATTTTCTCCGTATCCCTGTCTCTCTATATTTTTGTAAAATAGAGTCTGGAATTGGAATTAAGCCAAAAGGATTATACAGGTTGGGGGTGGGGTGGGGTGGGTAGCTCTGCGGCACAGCACTGGCCTAACAGGTACAAGGCCCTGGGTTTGAGCTTCAGCATGGGAAAAACAAAACAAAATAGCACTTACATTTTCAATTCTGTAATGTATTAATAACTGTGAGGGTCTAAGATTTTCACCAGCTGCTAGTCAACAAATGAACTTGGTATTGTTTTGTTGACAAAAGACCTACAGGTTTTTACTCTCTTAGACTGAGAGTAAAAATAAGCCAGTGTTAGGCTATTTGCAAGGGGTTCATTTTAATTTTTTTTTTAAATTTCGATTGATTAATTAGAGAGAGGTTCTTGACTAGTTGTCTAGGTTGGCCTTGAACTTTCGAGATCAATCTGTCCTCTTGCCTCAGCATACCGTCTGAGATTAGCAGCGAGCAACACCAGGCACAGCTTTTTAGAGGCTTCTTGAAGCTCTATACCCCAGAGCCATGCACAAGAAGGGCCTGCAGCAGGGAAAGACCTGGAACTTTTGTTTGCCCAAACATTAAACCTTGCAGTAGGCACCCTCCCCAGCAGTGGGCAGTGCAGAGTCCTCACTTTGTCGCCCAGACCCATGTAACCTTTAGTGTCTGTTTCAGGAACTGTTGACATCAGAGGATGGAGGCTTTGAAGTCTGAGCTGTGGCAGATGCTTTCCCAGTGACTTACTGTGACCTTGAGATGATCCCCAAGAGATAGCTACTGACAACCACGCTAATTAAGCCAACAGAAAGTATATTAGTTCTTTATTAATGGCCGGACCCACAGTAGGCTCATGCCTCCAAAATGTTTCTTGGGGTACAATGTTTTTAAAGACAAAAACCATAATTGCATTAGTGAGGAATTTTGGGTGGCCTAGTAACATCTGTTTTCTTGGAAAACTCAGCAGTATTTTTCAGACACTCCACGACAATTCTTTTTTATTTACACTTCCTCTAATTTTAGTTTTAGCTCGCACAAACATGAATTATTTTGGCTTATATGTCTGGACCATGGTCCGGGTCACAGAGAAAAAAAGCATTGCTAAGGCAGATACGGCTTTTAGGGGTTGAAGGCTGAGGAGTGCTAGGCGGACACAAAACGAAGTTAGGACAAGATGGCATTACCTTAGTCCTTTTGACCTCTCCTCCAGAAAGGAAGAGCAGTTGAAAGCTGCCTTAGGTCTTGTAAAAAAAAAAGAGCAGGGGCGGTGCATGCCCCGCTTGGCTTTTTTTTTTTTTTTTTTTTTTAAAACACAAATGGTACTGCACGCCTCTGGAAGGAGGAAGTAAGGCACACAGTGGCTGTGGCACGTTACAAGGAATTCAAACGCGTCCTTCCGTTTCGTGGAGTGACATATCCGGAGTTTTCCTTCGTTGCTGTCCCTAAGTACCCGGGCCTCAGTTCACAACAGTGAAGCCAGGCGGCAGGTATCTCGCCAGACCTGCATCTCCTGTGTAGAGTCGAATGTAAACAGTGAAACAAACTGCCGGGTATGTCTTAAATGTCTTTAAAGGAACATTTTTTCTTCAAAGTGTCTCTAGGGTAAAGCTTTGTGCCAACCTGGCAGCATCCGCTCCTAGGGACACTGGTTTAATGATTTCCTGTCAGAAACTGAAAAGTGAAAATTGCTCAGCTCAGAAGTGTCTGGTTTTCCGGGTTTCTTTCACGTTCCCACTTTCCCACGTTCCCGGTGCTAGAGCCTAGTGACCCACCAGGCGCCTAGCCCCGCCCTCCTGCGCCTCGGCCCCGCCCCGGAGCTTGGCAGCCAATGGGCGCGGCTGCACGAGGCCCGGGCACGCCCACCCTGGCGCCCAGCCCCACCCTGGCGCCCAGCCCCATACCAGTTCACAGCGGCTTTGCTCTGCCTGCTCCCTCCGCTAGCGCAGCTGTGCTGCCAGGCCCGGATCTGCCATGGCGTCCCCCGCAGCGGGAGGGGTGGTGATCGTAGGCAGGTAAAGGTCTCAGTGGCGCTGCGCTGCAGTGGCTGGCGCCCCGGCAGCGTTCGGAACGTGGGGCCTCGCTCGGGCGGCCGTGGGTGCCTCGGGTGGGCATCAGGCTGTACCTCGCTCCTCCAGGCGCTTTCGCACTTGCACTCCGGAGCTGGCTTGGCAGGAGACACGGTGGCGGCTGAGGCTTGGCGGAGCCCTGAGGAGAGCTAATGTGTTCCTTAAGTCGGTGTGGGGTCGCCCCGAGGTTTCCACCCTGGTCAGTGCAGGCTGGACAGCTCAGTGGTGCGGGGCTCCTCAGAGGTGTCTGGCATCAAGTACTAGCGATGATCCTGCGAAGACTGTGTTCTAATGTTTTGAGCCGGGAGTCTCATGTAGCTCAGGCTGGCCTCAAAGTCTCTAAATAGCTGAGGCTGTTCTTGAACTCCTGATCCTCCTGCCTCTACCTCCCAATTACAGGGACTGCTAGTGCGTGCCACCACACCCAGCTTGAAAACAGTGCCCTTAGTTTTTTTTTTTTTTTTTTGAAGAACACAGACAAGTGATTGACCCAGGATGATAGTAATTGGTAGAGGTTGGCCTGGGGCATTAAGAAGGTTCATGTGCACCCCGGGGCTAGGCTGGTAAGTCTCTGGAGGCAGAGCCCTTGTCAGTCAAAACATCTGGCTTTCATCACTCTTGTGTATGTGTGTCCCAAGGAGGGAGGCTGAGTCACTTTACAACCCAAGTTCATCCATACTGATTTCTCTTCTCACACCTCCCTTTTTTCCTTCATTGCTATTTTTTTTTTCAATAAGGAGGGGGCGTTTAGGTGTACTTTTCTTTGGCTAGATGTCTATAATTCTATCGACATGTAGCAACACATAGTAACTCGCATTGGTTGATAGCTGTTTGAGGAGTGACTCCAGGTCTCCGTGTATGCTTTTGACCACCTGTTGCTCTACCTGCAGACCAATCCCAAGTTCACGGTTTTCCTTTAGAACCCTTTGGAGGAAGGGGTCAGGATGCCTCCGGCCACTTTCTCTCTCACAGAACTGTGGAATTCACTGCACCTTTGTCCTTTCCGGTGGATGCTTGTGGTTGAATGGTCAAGGAATATCAAAAAGTGCACTTTGCCCCTGTGGTGAATTGTGCTGCCTCGCCTTCTGTGATAGGCCAGGGTCAAGGGCTGGGGTTTTTTTTTGGATCTCGTGTTGGGAGTGAAGTAGTGCTCTGCCTGAGCCTAACAGGTGTGTCAGGTGGAGGAGCTACTCAGTTATCTGAGCTCATGGACGGGGAACTTAGAAGAGGCTTGGGGCATCTTAAGCACCACAGGATGACCTGGGGCCATTGCATGTTACTTTGTCTTCTAATGAGAAAGTTCTGCCTGTCTTTTGTTTACAACACCCTTATGAACACAAAGTTGCCTCCCCTCACCCTTCCCCACCCTCCTTTCTCATCTGTCTATCCAGCTATCAGTCAATCATCCACCAGTCTATATAGTATCTATTACCAATCTTCTACCGTGTGTCTCATCTCTATTAACTTTATTTCTGTCTTCTCTATCACTCTCCATCTCCATCTTTCAGGGCCCCATAGGTGATTCAAGGGCCCATCCGTTTAACAGGTGGTGCCCAGAATGTAAATCAATTCCTTCAGCCTGGATGAAGAGCTTGGCAAGGCCGCACACCTGCACACCTGTAATCCTAAGGAGGCGGAGACGTGAGGCTCTCAAATTCCAGGCCAACCTGGGCAAGAGTCTCAAACAAAAGCAACAGCAAAACAGACCTGGCTGGGCTTCACTTTTTGTTTTTTAAAGCAGTTACACAAGTTTAAAAATAATTATTTATTATTATTGTGTGTGTAAGTGTGTGTGTGTGTGTGTGTGTGTGTGTGTGTGTGTGTGTGTGTGTGTGTGTATGTGACAGTATGAGTAGAGGTCAGGAGACAACTTTGTGGAGTTGATTTGGTCCATGCCCTCATGTGGGGTCTGGGGATCAAACTCTGATGAGGCTGCCAGATTTGCATGGCAAGTGACTTACACCCTGGCCCTCTCTTTGGCCTGCCCTCCCTCCTCCCTCCCCCGCCCTCTTCCCTCTTTCCTTTCATTTCCTTGCAGTGCTGGGGATTGGACTGGACCCTGCAAATGCTGGGTAAGTTCCTTGCTGAGCTGTACCCTAGGTCATTTTCACTCCTTCTGATATAGGACCTTACTATGTAGCCTAGGCGGGCCTTGATCTCATGTTCTCCTGCCTCAGCCTTTCAAGTGTGAGAACTGTGAACATATATATGTAAGATCACTGGCTCTGAAGTTCATCAGAGAGAGAGAGAGAGAGAGAGAGAGAGAGAGAGAGGTATTATGTGGACCAAGCTGGACTCAAACCCTCTGTGTTGCTGAGAATGACCTTAACCTTCTGGTCCTTCTGCCTCAGTCTCTCCCCGTAGCCTTCTTAGTGCTGGGATTACGGGCCACACCCATCTAGAAATTTGGCCTTGATTTAATTATTTTCTATTGCTATTTCTACCAGGGCTACCCTTCCTTAGGACCATTTATTTAACCCTATGAGCTTCTGGGGCAGGCTGTTTCAAAACGGTAGGGAAGAGTAGATTTGAGAGCATTAAGGATGAAGAAAAATCAAAACCAAAACATGGTGTGAGGCTGTGCTGTGAGCCACAGAAATATGATGTAGGAATTCAGCTGATTATGCTAGAGCATTTACCTGGAAGAGTCAAAGGCTTTTGCAGAGGAAGTCAAGACTCAAGGAAGTATTGGTGCATTGGCTCTTGAATATATCACATATATTTGAATATAGCAAGATTTCATGTGTGTTATTGCAGCTTTCCCATTTGATTCTTCTAACAGTGTGATTGTCATTCTTTGGGCACAGTTCTTCTCTATGCAATTAAGGTATTTGGATAACTTCTCCCAACTGTGCTTACAACCGTGACACAGGGGAGACTTCCTTTTTCCAGGCTGTCTTTTTTCTTCACCTTTTTAGCATTAGAATCAGATGTCTGCCTTCTGTAATTATCTCCTTTAGCAAGCATCCAAGGCCAGGGCCATCTCTGGACAAAAGCATTTTGTCTGAGATACCTGTCATACAGACAGAATAAGCATTCCAGACAGTCTCCTGAATTAAGGTAAATATCCATACAGAGACACCACCTAGGCCAGGCAGACGTTAGGTATATAGTTTTGTTTCTTGTGCAAAGTAAGGTTAGACCCTCCATTCTTCCACAGCTCAAGGGGCACCTCTAGACTTCCCCTCTAACAATACTCAGAAAAAGGGCCTTTTCACACCAGATATATCAAGCTGTGTGACAGGCTTCCTAGCTACTGAGCAGACTTGCCCCGCCTAAGCCGATAGTGGTGAAGCCAGAGAATTGTGGATTGTATGTGTGTTTAAACTGGAACTGGGAGAGAGGAGGGGAAGAAACAAAGATGGAAGGAACTTAGAACAATGAGAGGACAGGAGAGGAAGGGACAGAGAGGAGCTAAGTATGAGAACAGAATTGAAGTTGTGCAGAGAGATTTTGACTTAGAAGAATAAAGTGAATGGACTAAAGAGCTCGGTGCACATAGATTCATTCTAGTATCCCTCAGATTAATCTACTGCTGGTAGAGTCTCTTCTGGAACCCTGGGAGAAGACTATAGAAGGGCTGAACCCCAATAGTCTTCGATAAGGCTGTGGGAGCAAAAGAGGCGAAATCAGGAAATGACAGCTTTAGTGACTGGAATAGAGATGAGTATGGATGGGCATTTGAGTTGTGTTCCCAGGCTTTCACTCTGTTGGAGTGCTGTGTTCATTCACACACTGTTCTGTGTTGGTAGACCTATTCTAGACATGAGCTTGTTTGAGATAGAAACCTGTCTGGGGTGGTTGTGGGCATGTGTGTTGGGGGTTGCTAAGGGGTAGGCACTGTGCATGTCCTGCTGGAGCTGACTTTTCTCTCACCCTCTTTTTGTCAGACATAGTGTTTAGCACTCAGCTCAGGGATAGTCTTCTCTCAGATAGATTTGGTCTCTGGAAACTCCCCCTAGGAGCTGATACTGTGTTGCCCATACTTGCATTTTAATCCATATCTAGTCTTGTGCACAGATGTTTGAATGTTTCCAATAACTATCACCCAGGCCCCACACTATGAAGGCCCTGGAGAACATTGTTTGATATTTGTCTTAGTTAGGGTTACTACTGCTATGATGAAACACAGTGACCAAGGCAACTTGGGGAGGAAAGGGTTTATTTCAGTTTATACTTCCAGGTGACAGTCCACCACTGAGGGAAGTCAAGGCAGGAACTCAAACAGGGCAGGAACCTGGAAGCAGGAGCTGATACAGAGGCCATGGAGAGGTGCTGCTTACTGGCTTGCTCCTCATGGCTCCCTCAGCCTGTTTTTTTTTTATACAACCCAAGACCACCAGCCCAGGGATGGCCCCGTCCATAATGGACTGTGCCCTCCCCTATTGATCACTAATTGAGAAAATGACTTACAGCTGGGTCTCATGGAGTCATTTCTTCAATTGAGGCTTCTTCCTCTCTGATGACTCTAGCCTGTGTCAAGTTGACACAAAACCAGCCAATACAATATTAAGAGATTTATACTCTAGAATCTTCTTCATTAGTAAGTGCCCATAATTTTACTTTGGGGCAATTGTAATTTTAATAGAATATTTTTATGAATTATTTGAGAATTTCATACAATGCATTTTGGTAATATTCACCCTCAACACCTACCTCTCCACACCCTCCCAATGTTGTGGGTTTTTTGTTGTTGTTGTTTAAAACATTCCAATTTGTGTTGCCCATATACTCATAGGTGTGGAGCCATTCATGAGTGGTTGGTTAACTTACTAGGGGCCACACCCCTAAATAAAACTGACCCTCCCTCCCCCAGAAGCCATCAACTGTCAATAGATCCTCAGTTAGGGGTGGGGCTCTTAAGCTGCATTTTTTTTAACATAAGAAACTTTCTGAGATAGATATTTCTTCCAAGTGCTGCCCTAAGGACTTCCTGAAAAAATATC